ATGCCACCGCCCCTCAGCTCGGCCCCTCCGCATGGGCCCCGGCCTTGGGCAGGAGGCACCCGGCCCCTCCTTCCAACCCTTCCTCCGGTGAACCCCCTCTCTCAGCCCAGGGAGGCCGGCCCCCGTGGGCATTGCGGTTATTCGCCGACTGTTGAACCACGGCAGCCGTACCAGCGCCTCCCTTAAGTGGCGGAGGCTAAGCCAGTTCCTTCGAGGAGAAGGGGTAAAGGAGAGAATTACAGCTCCTCGCAGCACCCCGAACCTTGCCGCGTACCAGGGCAGCAGCCTGTCTTCCCACCGCAAAACATGCTGTTTCTTGGACGCCTCTGCTCCAAGTTCTTGGAGTTTCCTGCAAGTACAGTCCTTTGTTTTTCGGGAGATGGGCAAGAAACATGAGAGGAAGGGAAAAGCTTTCCCCTTTCAAAAGCTGAGGAGCCAGAGGGAGGCAAGGCTCAGCACAGCCACAGTGCAAGAACAGAGAGGAAAGGCAACCCCCCTCTCTTAGCAGCTTTCTCTGCCTCTAAACTCACCAAAACACACACAGTTGCTTACCTTTGCTAACCTCTTAACAATTTTCTCTACATGCCTCTAAGCTCACCAAAACACTTACCTTTGGTCAGGGCAACTGCAATTTTCAGCAGCGCTTCTGCACAAGCTCTTAACACAGGCAAGCCTGTGGCATATCAGCTCACCACAGAGCAGCACTGGGTGAGAGGCCAGTGCTATTAGGAGGTCAAAATAGATTTCAGAAGCTGGAAAGATCCCCTTGTCATAAACAATACAGACTATAGTCATTCAAACAACTAGATAAGTGTGAAAGTTTACAGGGACATCAAAAGGATCAGCATAGCAAGAGAAGCAGCTGTCTAACTCAAAGCAAGGAAGCAAGATCAGCAGGAGGGAGGTTTGGGGGGCACAAAACAAAAAGCATAAGTAATTTTTTAATAGAATCGACATGGGGCAAAAGCACTTTCTATCAAATTAAAAAAAATAAGAGACTTAATTCATCTTGGCATAAATCTATTTGCATTAGTTTTCTTATAACTGGTCAGAAGTTTCTCATTTGGGACACTGTTATACCTGTCCTTAACAGCTCTCAGACTAAGCAAAGTTAGGCCTTCCTCCCCACAGGAATTTCACCAATTATGTTAGTGGAGGCTATGCAAGTAGCCCCTCTCCTGTTCCTTCCACTCCAGATGTCCTTTCAAAGGATACAAGGGAGGCTGGTACCCTCCCCATAGAGGGGCCGTCCAGGTTGGAAGAAGAGCTGTCTACTGCCTCAGTCTACTGCCTCACAGTCAGCTGACAAGCAACCAAACTCAGCAGGTAACTCTTGTATAAATCCAGTATTTGAGCTCAAGTTAGGCCTCGTACTCCAGCCTCTACAGAGTGCTTTTTCATTAAATGTTTGCACTTTCATTCCATCAGACAGGCAGGAGTCCAGCCTTATCTTTCTTCCAGGTCCTACCCTGGAGCCCACCATCCTCACCTAGCTGCCAGGAGGTACCCCTTGATACATATTAGCTCCATCCTGGAGCACCTAAAGAATTAACCCCACTCTCAGGTCCTCCATTTATGCCTTATACCCGCCCTTCTTTCTCTTCCTCCCATACCTCTACTTGCTTTTGTAATTTCCTTCTTCCCTTGTGTTTGATGTGGTTACATAACCCTTGTCAGCCCTCATCTCCTCCACCTGAAGAGGTGAGCCTTGACCCTCTTAAAGGCCCTTAACACCAAGACAATGCTTTCACCCTCTGCTTCTGATGACATGGAAAGGTATTTCTATGTAGCCAAAACCAAAGAAAACATTGTGTCTTGCATTTTCCAGAACAGGGATTGTGCTGCAGAAGAACTAGTCAATGGGCTGTGACTTTAGTGGAAATCTGTGGCAAAAATGAACACTGAACCTTGTTTGCAGACACCTCCCTAACACTTGTAACCACAAGAACAGCTCTGTTCTCGAGCCAACACTGCTTCCTCTTTTTTCAGCATTTCACAAACCTTAAGGTTCCCACTATGTCCGGAAAATAGAAACAACAATGCTGCAACAATGCTGGGGTTAGTTTCACTTGATTTCTCAACAGCAATCTCATCCTGAGTTGTTTACATCACTCTGCCTTGGCCCTCAACGTTACCTATTTGAGGAGGTTAATGCTGCCCTGTTGAAACAGGTTAATGAAATAAACCATGTGAACAGTAATCTCTTGCAGAGTGCTGCCTGGGTACGGGCACTAGCAGGCTGGCAAACAACTGTGTTTTTCTCAAAAATAAATTATCCCCCAAAACTAATCTTTTTCTCCTCAATGAGAAAGTACTGCCATAATCCTGCAATTGATCATAATACTGGAATAAGCCAGGTCAGCAAGATTAACGTGGCAGCTTTTCATGTGTATCAAACTCCTATCAGAACACTGCAATTGTGATGCCACTGAGACAGCTTCTCATGTAATCTCTCTTTGTTGCATTTGTTTTCTAGTCTAATGAATGATGAACAGTTAGTACATATGAGATAATAATGTACAAGCAAACAATCTGTTTGTTTTTTCAGGTAAGACCTTGGTTGTTGGCGGCCAGCGGGAATTAATTTTAAAGGGAAGCTGAGAGGCAGTCTGTTATACTGTTGTCTTCAGCATGTTACTTTAGTATTGTTGCCTGTAGTCAGCAAGACTGAGGCACTGGTCATGGAGCCCAACCCCAGTGCTGTTAACATCACTGGAAAGCCTGACTTTGATGTCTTTTTCTTACCTGTGATGTTTGCGTATATTGGACAATTCCATGGCAAACACTTGGGACTTGCTTCATAGGAGCATCTCCTGAGGCAATGGAGCAGTCCCCTTGTCCTTGCTCTCTTGGGACTGAATTTTCCTTCTAGGAAAGCTACTACAGACATCTCTGACCTACCTAAATCAAACCTACTGAGTTCAGCAGGGCTGCCTGCATGTAGCAGCTTGCAAAATTTGGCCTTAGTAGTAAGAGTGAAACCAGTTAATTTGACAGTGGCCCCAGGGAGCCGTTGCTTATTACTTTCCAGTAGTGTCCAGGACATTCTCCCTGCTTTCCAAGTAGTGAAGATGTCATGTCACTCTCCCTGCCCCATAGTATTTGTAAGGAATGATTTTCAGTCAGAGCTGATTAGAGATGGTGCAGCATTTGTGTCCCAGTGAGGAAAGCTCACACGTTTCAACGTCAAGCCTATGACTAAATCACTCTCCCCTACGGTCAATTTAGTAATGATCAGTTACCAGTGTAATCTCCAGGCACAAGGCTATCCTTTCCTTTCCCTTCAATGTCTTTGAGCCTTTCTTTATGAAGAAGTCAGGAAAACTCTATTCTAGCTAAAATTGATTCTGCAAGGGGACAGGCTAGGCCACCACTCCAAGTGTTTGCAGGCACTAGTTTTCTCTGAGAGCATCATGGAATACAACGCATCCACCCCACCACTACCCTTGCCTTTGGAAATCATTGCTAAGTCTGAAAAGGCATCAGTGACACTTGAAAATTCAGAACAGTGTCCACAGAGCAGGAGTAGTGATCCCAACACCTTCATAGCTGAAGCTCACAGAGATCAGCAGAACAGAGTGGTGAACTCCATCCAGAGCACCAAACAAGTCTGCAACAGACTTCCAGGCACATTACTGCTCAGGTACAAAGCCATCAGGTGACAACTGTTTCATAAATAGGTACAGGGGAATAAAGCTTAAAATGCTTTGTTTTTGCATTTGGAAGAATGGAAAATTCACCGTGCAGAGGTTTTAGCAAATTCTGTAAAATGTGTGTGAAATCTTGGAGTAGACCTGTCCCCTGACCTTCACAGGGAATACCTACAGGGTGGTTATGTAAAATACATTGGCTCCTTGTGGCAGTGTTAACAAATGCTGTATTTTCAGTGCTTTCTCCGAGAGTTGTCCCCTTCTCTGAACAGTTTACCAAATGAGCTGTCCTCTTTCTCAAAGCAGATTGAGCAACAGGAGTTTTCATGAAAATGATGCACTTTCAGGAGGGAATTTAAAGGTGGTAAGAGGACACCCAGCATAGGATCAGGTCCATAACTCAAGGTTTAACAGGTCATAGGGAGAAGATAGAGAAAAACAGGGCGAAGAAAGAAGTCAGTCTAGATGTAGCTGTAGTCCTCCCCTCATCACAGTAGCCAGCAGCTGGCACCACAGGTTTCAGTCTCATCCCACAGGTAAAACTCATGGAATAGTTCAGTACCACTGAAACAAATTCCTTTGTGCATGGAAAAATCCTGCTGAGTGGTGTGACAGGGCAGTTCCTCCCTGTGAAAACATTGACTTTGCTTTTGCAGCAGCCAAGCAAGGCAATATTGCAGGGTGGGGGCGGTTACCTCTCAGTAAAACCACATCCAAGAACCACTCTTTTCCAGTGATCTGAAACGGAGAAATCAGCAAGGAAAGAAACACAGGTATACCTGCACCCCTTCCAGTGCCAAACCACAGCCACTATGAGTCTGACACAAGCAGTTTTCATTACTACCACAAAGATCACCATGCTAGGACTTAAGAGACAAAGTAGATGACAGGTACTGGCACTGTTACCTCCTGTAACTCTGTCTTGCAGCAGGCACAGAAGGGCAGCAAGGGTTAGTTGCTTAAATCACAGCCATTTTGAGGTCTGAGGATCTAACTTTCAACTGTTCTCTCCCTTGGCTGCTGTGAAGTAACGGGTGTTTTCTCTCAGTACACCACAGCGAGATAAAATAGTTTTTCCTACTTGGATTTCACCCATCTCTCCTCTCAGAAGTACTTTCCATGCTTTGTCCAATGACTCATAACTAACATAGCTGTATCGGCTAGCGTGTTTGTTTTTTTTTCCCAAAACAACTATGTTAGAAAAGCTTCACAGTATAAACTGCTCCAGGACACCTCTTTTTGACACTACCTGTGGAGACTTGGCATGGGAAGATCATCACATGTGCTACTTGTACTCTACCTACTTACGGTGACAGCCAAAGACTGCTGTAGAAGTCAGGGTAAGTTGCCTGCCAGAATCATCTCCTAGCAGAAGATGCTTTATAAAAGCAAAATTTACTGCCCTCCCAAGCTGATGCGTTCTTCTGGGCACACCAGAGATGTTTCAGTTCTCCAAAAATATTCTCCTCATAAAGTAGTTTCTTTTTGTTCAGATCAAGGTGATTCACGTCCCGATAGTTCAGCTACCCCCAGAACAGCCATTCAGTATGAAGCGCACCTTTGCATTAGTCTGTCAGTCTCTTCTCCCAAGTAACTAGTGATAGGACGAGAGAAAATGGCCTCAAGTCGCGCCAGGGGAGGTTTAGATTGGATGTAAGGAAAAATTTCTTTACTGAGAGAGTGGTTAAACATTGGAACAGGCTGCCCAGGGAAGTGGTTGAGTCACCATCCCTGGAAGTATTTAAAAGACATGTAGATGCGGCGCTTAGGGACATGGTTTAGTGGGCATGGTGGTGTTGGGTCAACGGTTAGACTCGATCTTAGAGGTCTTTTCCAACCTTAATGTGTCCCATGAAGAGCAGGATGCAGTATTTTTTTTTTGTTACAGATTTTATGTTAAGCATATGGATGTAACATGAAATCCAAGCATAGTCAAGCATTTTATTGGTATTGTCCCTAGAGGTTGGAAATCTGACACAGCAATGAAATTGGTGCTTTTAGATATTTACAAAAACTAATTACTATAAATAGCTCTGAAATGAAAATGTTTCTGGACTAATTCAGACCTGCTGTCCATTCAGTTTCACGTTTTGGAATTGATTAAACAGATCATGAAAAATAAAGTCCTTTTATTGCTGAATAGATGGGACTTTTTCCTGAGTAAATGGGATGGCAAAATAGTATGGAGAAGGTGAACTTAAGTTAAGATCAGGTAGATTCAGCTTCCACATACTGTTTAAGAAACAGGAGTGTCAAAACAAGCATCCAGGTTCACACAAGCTTAGCCATTTCCTAAGTACTTTAAGAGAGTCGAGTCCCATGGCTTTTCATAAAATTCACATACCTGTTTCAGAGATAAAAATCAAAGCTTTGTCAGAGCTATTTTAAGAACAGCTGTCTGAATCCAATAGCACTTGTATGGTTATAATAATAAACTTAAAACATTTAAAACAAAGAATTTTAATAATTTCTCTATAACAAATAATTAATCAAATAGGCCGAATCCCATGTCATCGTCAGATTCTTCAGATTCCTCCTTCTTCTCTTCTTTCTTCTCCTCAGCTGAAGGAAAAAAAAAAGACCAAGCCAATGGTCAGTATTTACATTTTTTGCACCACAGGTTTTCAAGATATATGTTTTGGTGTTCTCAGCTTCCATATTATTGGTATTTCAGCCTCCATGGTTTATCTCATTCCCTTTCAATAGCCAAATATAAACACTGAGGGGACACAGACACTACTATTGAAGGGATGTGCTTTACACAGTGAAGTCTGTTTGATTCTCGGTTCTAAGCCAGACCAATCTTAAGGTGGATAAAGAGCAAATGCTTCTGATTGCCCAAAGGAAAAGTCAGTGTTCAGTTTACACTTCAGTCACGTAGTGAACTGCCGAAGTGGAAAAGCCTTGAAATTTGGACTCAATTGTTAAGATTTTAACAGAGAAAAACGGAGCTGCCCTGTAACAATGCCTCTCCACCCATACTCACCGGCAGCAGGGGCAGCAGCTGCAGCAGGAGCAGCAGAGCCCCCTCCAGCAGAGACTGCCACAGCTCCCCCAGCCGGCATGCTGGCAAGTTTTCCATTACCTGAGTGGGACAGAAGAGAAAGTATTTAAATGCTCATCACAAGCAGAGGTAAGGTGAAAAGGAAGAGAAGTGAGAGCGCAGAAAAAACAGATACTATGTCTCATGGACTGAACCTGTCACTATTAGCTGAAAGGAACAAGAGGCTGCACCCATGATAAGAAAGTGTAAATTATTCCCGGGGGGGGAGAGAGAGAACACTGACAGCACATTATTAGTAAATTTTCTTCTGTATACAAAGTCCCCTATTTTTTTTTCCATATTTTGTCATATAAAGATAGTGGCAAACACATCCAATTTTACACATACAGAAAAACTGTGTGTTTTCTGAGTACAGCATAATAGCCCAGAAATTGGTAATTTCAATATACCTCAAAAATAACATATAGGCAGCACTGGCTTCCTCCCCGGCTTTTAACAGTATAGAGAACTGTGAGGCCATGACTGGATCACACTTACAGGAGAGAAGGGGGTGGGGGGAAGGATGTATTTATGGCAAAGAGTACAGTATTTTAAACAAATTCTCCAGCACCCTATGAACCCTACTGCATCTCCTTTGAGATTAGCAAACTGACTTCTGATTTATGCTAGTCTTTGGAAAGCTAGCTAGTTCTCTGGCATCTGCCTTTCACATACCAAGGTTCCCTTGGCATTCAGAGGTCACGTACACAGTATGTTTGCCTGTATTCTGATTTCTGGGAATCAGTTTCTAAATAATTCCCTGTTACTTCAAGCTCTAATAAACTAGCCAAGTAAACAAACATGTTTCATATGCATGTCAGTATGTTCTAGGAAACAATTTACTTAAAGTATTACTGAAAGAGATAGCATAAGTGTGTTGTAAGCACATGCATAATGACTCAGTTAGGTCTTCAGACCACACAGATAGAAACGTCCAGTTACTGCTCGTAACAGCAAGGCCAGGCAAAGTCCTGGCAACCTTTAAGCAAATATATGCCCAAAAGTTCCCTTGTGCCTACACACTTGCAAAAAAATAGAAGTTAATTCATCAGAAACCTTTGCACTACCTCAGCTCTGCTTTATTTCAGCCCTATGACCCAGTCAATTAATGTTAAAAGTTCCAGCTTTGGTAAGAGCCAGCAGGTAAGAGCACAAGTCAGCACTCGGAGTCCTACCGTAGAGAAAAGGAAATGCCAGACCTGAGGAGCTCTAGAATAGATGTGTACTGGAGAGGCTTGTATTAATCGCAGAGGGTGTAACTGTACCCTTAATATGAATTGATACTTAGTTACATTTAACAGTCTGTTCTTCCTGTTTTACATGATTGGTGCATATAAGTGGGTAAACACAAAGAAAAAATCTCCCAGAGAGCTTGAAGGACAGCTAATTCTTTCTCCGATCAATGTGTCCAGAAAACTACATCATGAGCAGATGACCAGTAAGCTCATACATGCTTAAGTTTTCCAGTTTAATGTGGTCCACAAGCGAAACCCAGCAGGTACTGGCACCGACCTGCAGGGAATTAGAATGGACCTGGATTTCAGTCATTTCAGCTGAGATCCAGCATGGAAGTCGTCAACCGCAAAGCTAAACTGATGAATAATCAGGGAGTTGGCAGCAATTCTACGCTCTCAGGTCTAAGTTACCAAAGTAGTAGAGGCAATTATCTGTGACACTCAGAGGCTGTACTTACCCTGAGCAATGACATCCTCGATGTTTTTTCCATTCAGCTCACTAATAACCTGTGTAAATTAAGTTTAGAATGTTAATAGTTTCAAAACAGCATGAGTATAAGCTACATTTAAACAAATACTGGTTAATCATCATGTGTAATGCCTCCATCCCACTGCTTATACAGTCCCAACATTCCTTATTTCTCAGTGGAAGGAACAGGACATTGAAATGAAAACTTCAGCTAAGTCTTTCATACTTTTCTGTGAGAGCTTTTTCATGAAATCTGTTACAATGAATTCATAATGAATCCAAGGACCTTGCAGAAAGAAGGATACACAGATGTTGTGGAGCCAATTAGGAAACCCCACTAATGGTCTGTTAGTCACTGAGGGACTGTTAACATATCTTACTTAATACCCACTGGGAGGCTCTGAAGCACTGAGCCCTAGACCAAAAACCACAGGGTCCTGATCCTAGCATTACCAAATGTTACAGCCAAGCTGGCTGTTGTATCCTTGCACTGGAACAGAGAGTCCCAGCTTCAATTTTACTACCATTGTTGTATAACCAGGGATGAGGAAAGCAAAACACAAAGCCAAAAATTGCTAAAGCAAGCAAGCACTTTAAAAAAAAAAAGAGAGAATACCACAGACCTGACTGGTGAGTCCCTGCTACCAGGAGTCAGTGCTGAACACTGCAGACTCGCCAAAGCCAAAGGACTTTAACCAAGAGCTTTTCAACAGGCACCTTCTACTTACACAGAGCACGTGATCTGTGAAATGCCGTGCCTGTGCGCTTGCTTCACCTGAAGGGAGGTGTTTTTAAGACTTCACTAGATTTACACTGGCATTAAGATACAGCCAATGCAAATAGAAAAGGATTAATTAATCGTGACCAAAACAAATTCCAGAGCTGTCCAGATACTGGAGGATCAGAGAAAACAACTAATTTATGAAGGTACTAAACAAACATAAACATACCAAAGCCGAAAGACCTGGCGTTTAAACAGGAGCACCACGAGTTCAAACCAACATTCCACACCATAATAAGGATGCTGTCAACTCAGTCAACCCATCGTTTGGTCAGGTCTGTGATGAAACACTGTCTCCAGCTGGGAAAGTAACTTGTTTTTTCCTCCACCTCTTGGGAAAAGAGTTTCTTGGGAAACTCCGCATACAAGTATGGGCCAGGTGATAAGACCATTTTTTTTGGTTCTTTTTTTTTCCCACGGCCATTTTTTTAAGTCCCAAGACTGAAGGTCTATTATATCACTAGAAACATTCTAATTAAGATACTCTCTTCTTAAAAAGCCTGTTTTTCAACACAACCATTTCAGCATTATTTTCCAAAATCTTCCTACATATTATTATTGAATACCTTTAATGCCCATGTTATAATTTGCCTATGTTTCTTGGTGAAGGAACAAATGCTTCTTTGCAGTACACTATATAAGAACTTATTACTGAGTATCAGGCCTTCAAAAGTGTTAGCTTTAAATCAATAACGACCAAAAGCCAAAATTAAACATTAAGTGCAAACTATACATTATGTCAGAACAGAACTTATTTTCAATACATACTCATCTGTAGCCACCATCCCATTGAAAATTATTAGACTGAACGGTCAGAAGTCAGCAACAACTGACAGAGATCTTTGCGGAGAACAGGTGTTAAATCAGGAAGCCAGACTTCTACAAAAACGTTGTAAAAATAGTTCTGATTGGTTAAGCAGTGTTTTAGAAATCACACATGTAATGATCAGCGAACGTCTGAACAAAATAAGACTAGATCAACAGCAAGGCAACTATGGAAACACTGAAGCCAAGGGAACAGCTCCAATGTCTGATGCTGACTGGGACATGACCGTCTGGAATTAAGAGGCAATGCCACCTTGTTCATGCGTTCATCATCTGTCTCAATGCCAACGCTGTCGAGGATCTTTTTCAAGTCCTTTGACGTGGGAGACTCGTTGCCACCGAGGACCGCTAGAAGGTAAGCTGCGACGTAACGCATCCTGGAAAACAAGAGAATTGGATCTTCAGTGCTAATGATCTAGTTACATGTTCGGAGGAAGTTTGATCTCCTCACTGGGGGAAGCAAACCTCACCCTCCCGACTGCAAGTGTTTTGCTCTACTGTTAAATGAAAACCCACGACACGTGAGGCCGCGCACTGGTCTCCTGCCAGCACGGGGCCCCGCACACGGCAGCGCGTTGAGCACCGCAAAACACCGCGGCGCTGCTGCCCCAAGGCCTGAGCAGCCGGCCCGGCCTAACGCTGCCGGCACCGCACGCCTCTCCCGGAGAAAAGCGGCACCGCGGCCTCCCGAACACCTGTTGGCGCCCCCGACGGGATCCCCGCTCCGGCTCCCCGCGGCGTTCGCCTAAGCCTGTCCCGTCCCTCCGCAGGCCCTGGCCCAAGCCCACCTGGCCCAAGCCCACCAGGCCCAGGCCCACCAGGCCCAGGCCGGGAGAGCACATGGCCGCCATTTCCCCGCGCCCAC